CAGCACCCGAAGTTACTCCTATCCCACCGCAGCAGCTGGATGCAGATGTTGCCCCAAGCAGGGCAGCTGGGTATGAGGGGAGAAGAAGGGAGCAGGACCCTCAGTGCCACCACCGCATCCAACATTGGCCATTGCCCAGGAGATGTCACCTGAGGATGAACTCTTGGAAATAACACAAATACTGGTGCAAGGCCAGCATATTTTGGAGCAGTGGGATTTATCCTGAAAAAACAACAACCAAGACTACAGGGCTACATTGCCCGGAGCCGGGAACCTGCCTCCTTCAGTGCTCAATGGGCAGAACTGGGCATCTGCGGGGAGGAGAGCGGTGTTATCGGTCAGAGGGGGATTACGCTGCGAAACCTGCTCGTCGAGGATTGTATATTAACAGGATACGCTCGGCTGGTTGACAGGAAGCAATAAAGTAATTTGGAGGCGGCCGGGTGAGAGCGTGTGAGTTCCTGCGTCTGTGTTAAATCATGGCGTTAGATAAGCAAACGGGGCAGCCCTGGGTGCACGGAGGGCCAGCGCTGCCAAAAGGGACTTGGCCAGTGTGGGGAGTGGGGGCAAAAAACCCTCCAGGAGCTGCTGAGAGCCCCCCAAGCCGTTGCAGAGGGGCCAGTGGCCCGGTTTTGTCTCGGCCCCGGCGCAGAACGGACGCTCTGGTGCAAAGCAAGCACCGCTCGGTGCCCGAGAGACCCTCCCGGCGCGCGCTTGCACCAGACCAGCCCCCGGCATTTTCGGGGGCTTCAGGAAGAAGCTGCTCCTCCCAGCAAAGCCGGGCCTGGAAGCCTGGAGGAGGAAGGGGAGGAGAGAACCGAGAGGAGGAATACGTGCAAGGAGCGCGGCTGCGGGAGCCACGGAGCGGAGCGCCCGGCTGTTGCTGCCTGCAGCGAGCAGGGGAGCTGCCAGAAACCATCAGGCGATTCAGGAGGAATCACATGCAATAAATGCTCATCTGCATTTTTTTTTTAATTTTGTCCACTTTCATGGAAGATCTGCTGGCCTCTATGAGGGGAAGTTTGCAGGGCTGACGATGCTATTTGTGCCCCTCTTCTTTCACACCATGTGTTATTGCCCCTGCTGCAGAAGCTCTGCAGGAACTACAGTGTTGGTGCTTGATTGACACTGAAGACATCTAAATGCTCTTCTAAATGCAATACTGCTTTCCATCATAGGCAGAAGAAAGTCCAACACTGATATCTGATGCATATTGGACCTCTTCTTCCGTGTGTCAAGGACTCTTAGCTCCGCAGACCGCCAGGAAACCTCCCTTGGCAATGGATTATGCCAAAACTTAATGTCATTCTGAAGTGTCTAATGCTGCCATGCGCAGAAGAGGACTCCTGGTGGACAGAGCACTGGTCCAATACGTTAGGCACGGCTGCTCCTAACCAAGATGATGGTTTATGCAATGTTCTCCTATTTAGAGCTCAATCCTTGTTAACTGGTAATTGCAACTTCCACTCACACGAGCTTCTAGAGCTCCAGCAAAGCAAAAGACGTGCAAAGGATTCAGAGGGCTGCAGAGCAGGGTGGGCTTTTCACTCCCTTCTCACTCCCCAGGACTACTGCTTCAAAGGACATTTATCTGCTAAGTCTCTCCCATCTTCATAGACAGCTGGAAAAGGGAAAACATTTCCTTGCTCTATCGGTATTTCTTGGTGACCTTGTTATGGCTGAATGCATCGGTCGTAGCACATCCCTGTCTGCGCGCCTCTCCTTGGGAAATAGCCAAGCGGAGCATGTGCAGGGGAAGAGGAGGGGAGCAGGGAATGTAACTGCGGCAGCTCATCGGGAATACAGCTCTGCGGCTCAGGGAAGCACTCTGCCACTGCCCGGAGAGAGGTTTCCCTGTTGGATAGGAACAAAATGCAAGGGAAGTAAAGGACAGCTGAACTGAAGGGAAATATCATGTGTGTTTCTCAAATTTGTGGAGTTTTGGGGCTACCGGTAGGGAGGAAGGAGGTCTGGGACAAGGGATGAGAACATGCAGCCTTGTGGGCTTATTTTGAGCCTTACAAAGTGCAGGTTTAGTTGTGTTAAGAGGAATCACCTAGAGCTAAGCCAGGTGCTTTGTCCAAGAGCAATTACAACGGGGCAAGCTGTGGCTGTGGGCACCCATGGTGGGGTCTGGCCTCTGCCTTTGGATGTGATGGGTTATCATGCACTCAGGTGACATGGGCTCACACTTACCCTTCTCCTGGTTACTGGACAGAGGACCTCTCAAGGCTGATGAACCACAAAAGTGGCGGTGGACCTGTTCCACGGGTGCTGCTTGGTGCATGGCAGTGAGGGACTGTGCAGAAGCCAAGGGTTTTGCGCTCTGGCCTCACACACTTCACTTCCCTGGGTCCATTTGCACTGACATGGTACAGCCCAGTCCAAGAGACCCTGATGGAGTTCTTCCATCCAGTCTTCCTTCCATGTGCCCATTCCCTGAGAGAGGAAGGCTACCTTGCACAGAGGAGGTTGCTGGCTAGTCCTGAGATGGCCATCTACCAAGGTGGTATCTCCTGGAGCTTGATGGGCATCGCTTCTGGCAGGGAGGGAAGACTCCCAGACCTTTCCTTCCACCATTCAACGGGACTGGGCTGTGCTAGTGAACCAACCAGCCATCTGGGTGCGAGGACGGTGCTACCAACCCAGGTCATGCACGGGGCAGCCTGTCAAAATGGTGTCACTCAGCAGACTGATGTGGTGTCCCATGGTGCCTTCCAGGCAGGCTTCAGCAGAGATTCCCTTCAGTCCGTTGCTGTTTGTGTCTAGCACCGTCTCACCCTGGGGAGCCACTCATCGTCACAGCGACCTTCATCACCCCCTCAGCACAAGGAATTCCCTGACCTGTTCAAGTGTCATTTCCATGCTCAGCAAAGAGAACAGGATTCCACAGATATTGGAAGTACTGCTGAGGTCTGAGCTGTTACAATCCACCTCTGACCACAGGATTCTGGAGCTCCCCAGAGGAGAAGGAGCTGCCACCATCTCACACCTGCTCTCCACATCCATGTGCTCCAAAGCTTCAGGGATCCCTCTGAGCAGGACTGCTCCTCTCCTTGGGGTCCTGCAGAGACCCACCAAAGAGACCTCAGGTATCCCAAATCTCTGCTTCTCCATCACTTTTCCCACTCCCCCACAAAATCCCACCCAGCTGCAGGAAAGTGATGTTCTCCCTGTGCATGACCCAACCTCACCACAACAGAGCTGGAAGGACTCCTGGAGCACAGGCTGAGGCCACCAGCAAGGAGGGACCACTCCCTGGACTCAATTTGCACCAGGCTAGAAAGATATACAAGCTGTCTGAGCTAAAGCAAGTAAATAAATCTTCAGCCTGTATGAGAGGGAACATCACGCGTTCCCATACTGCTGCAGTATGTGCAAGCCAGGGACATCACCAGACAAGCTCATCGGTCCTGAAGACTTAGATTTGGGGTAGGTTGCTTGAATTCAGTTTCCTCTTGTGTCCAAGCAGTCCTGCAGCATCCCAGTTCTAGGCTCAGGTCCTTACACTGTGGTCCCACAGGTCCCTTCTGGTCCTGACAACTGGTGACTTCAGAGAAGCATCCAGCAAGTCTTCCCTGAGCCCCAGAGAGCTTCTTAGCAGGAGCTGTGCATTTCTCATAGGGCAATAACGTCCTGGTGCACCCTGGTTCACATGGCTCAGGGCACCTTTAGCTTGGTGTGACCTGCATGCGCATGGTGGCTCTGCATGGGACCACCTCGCCTTAAGCCCCCTCTGGAGTCCCACCACGCATCTCCTCGGTGCAGGTCCCCCACCAGGACCCCTGAAGCCTCTCTGCGTCAGGGTGGAAAACGTTGCTCTCCAACGCGAGGAGCCCGCGTTGACCGCTCGACTCCCCTTGCAAGACGTTCCCATTGCTTCTCCCGGAGCCCCTTTCCCCTCCCCCTGCGCGGTGGGATTCCCAAGGCCCCCTCCCCGCCGGCAGTGCCGTATTGACCGCCGGGATGCGCGCCGGCGCGCCACGGCCTTTTCTTCCCTTTCATCCCATTCTGAGGCCCTGAATGCGCCGCGCTCGCTTTGG